ATCCAGATTCAGCCGCTGTTGAAACTGATCAGTTTCAGCAGCAGCTGAATCTGGATGCCAGTTCCGACTTACATACAGATTCAACTTAAGAACAAACCTACAGTCCCTATCTTGTACGTAACCCAGGGACTGCCTGTATTTGCAAATTTGAACAATTTGAAAAGTATTTTGTTTAATTCTTAGTGTAAAGAAAAGCCATGATCCAGATTCAGCCGCTGTTGAAACTGATCAGTTTCAGCAGCAGCTGAATCTGGATGCCAGTTCCGACTTACATACAGATTCAACTTAAGAACAAACCTACAGTCCCTATCTTGTACGTAACCCAGGGACTGCCTGTATTTGCAAATTTGAACAATTTGAAAAGTATTTTGTTTAATTCTTAGTGTAAAGAAAAGCCATGATCACTAATTATAGTTTAGACTTATATTGTACCTACTGTCTTAGGACTCATATCAAGCCCAAATTAACCTTTGCTAGTTTTCTGTGGCATTGTTTGAAGAGAGGGTTCCTTCCCTTCTGCTTTGTCATATTTCAGTCATATGAGATGGTTATATTTCAGTGCTTCTGCAAGATGCTCAAACATTTATTGTCGCCAGTGTCAGTTTTCAAGACCTACCTCAGGTTGTCTTAAATTGAAGTGTACTAGATTGGAAAAATCAAAACTGAAAAAGAGAGGTACAAAAGAGACTACCTAGTTAGGGCCTGGGCTTTGTTCCAAATATTGTTTCTCACCTAAAGATCTTTCATAACTGAAAAGTGTACATTTTAACCTGAACAGCAAAGCTGCCTTTTCCTCAGTGTATCATCTCAGTATGCCAAATGGTCCCAGGGAAGTGGCTCTTTGTTCTCCTTAAAAACTCTTTTGTGAGGTAGAGGACAGGTTTCTCATTACAGCTTCTTTTGAAACTGGAGCAGAACGTAAACTCTGTTGGAATCCAGCTCATATGACTCTTGCCTAAATGCGAGACTGTCATCTCATGAAATATTTTTTACTTGTTAATGTTCTGCACACGAGATTGCCTCCGATTAACATATGGTTCCATTCAAATTATCACAATCCATAAATGTGTATTTCATCCACCCTGCCACACAGCCAGATAGAAAATACATTGATTTTTAAGATAGAAAAGGCTCATAACTAACACATCTACATGTAGATTTCTGCTGCAAGATTCTTTAAAATTTCAACATGTATATTTTCTTTTAGGGAAGACTACTCTTTTCCCATGATTATATATTTTGGTGTGGTGATTTTAATTATCGTATAGATCTTCCTAATGAGGAAGTGAAGGAATTAATTCGCCAGCAGAATTGGGATTCTCTTATTGCAGGAGATCAACTTGTCAACCAGAAAAATGCCGCACAGGTAACTCTTGAAAAACGTTGCATTTAAGAGTCCTTTGTTTTTCACATTGAAACTCTCCTACTACAGTGGCTTCATGGGAGTGCTTGTGCAAGATTGTTTCTGCATTTCATTGTTAACTTGTCACTTTTGTCCAGTTGTCAGTGTGGAGTAGAGTGGAGTGGAAAAAAAAAGTCAGTTCGATGATTGTATCAATTACTCTGAAGAAATTTAAAAACAACAAATGGTCTGGTAGCACTTTATAGATTAACAAAACATGTAGATGGTATCACGAGCTTTCGTGGGCATAGCCCACTTCTTCGGATGACCGGAGTTTTGAGTTTGGAGAAACTTTTAAGTTTATCCTGTACAGACTAACTTGGCTACCCCCTGAAGCTTCTGAAGAAATTGTTAGTAGTGCAACTACAATGACTAGCTTTGAGAGTCAGATGTTGGATATCCCTTTATAAAAGAGAAGCTGCATTGTTGTCCTGTGAATACAGTGTTTGGAGTAGGGAATGTAAAATCCCGGTTAACCTAATATTTAGCTAGTTAACCAAATGTTAACCAATTTAAACATTAGGTTTCCCTAATGTTTAGCTGGTTTAAACAAATTAAGAGAGATGTGGGATAGGGACAGCTCCAGTCCATCTGGAGCAGCCTGCAGCCCACAGGCTCCTGTCCCCAACCCTGCATTTGGGCTGGCTGCCGGCTCCCAACCTCTGCATGATGGCTGGAGCTGCTCCAACCTCCACTGGTAAGCATTGCCTATTTAGGGTGATGCTTACCAGTTAATTGGTTAACCTTTCACATCCTTAGTTTGGAGCTTATTTAAAGAGAAAATGTTGAAGGTTATCAAATGCAGTTGTCATAGCAGTGAATTTTTAAAAGAGCAATTTGATAACATCACTGGTCACATTCAAATTATGTTAATAGAATTAATATATTTACTATCACCTAATTAGTGACCAGCAAAAAGACAACCGATAGCAGCTTCTAATCCAATTATGGCTTCATGTAGGAACAAAATTATGTTGGTGGCTTTATTGTAGAAAGACTTCTGATGTGAACTTTGTTTAGCATGTCAGAGTTAAAGGGATTCTGGTGATGTAAAAATTATTCTTCTGCATGAAAGTACTTTAACAATTGAGATAAAATATCATCAGTTACTGTAGTTGAAACATTAGCAGTAAGTATTTTTTCTGTTTCTGAGTTTACTTAGTGCACTTGGCAGCACTTTTTATTGGTAGTATCTCCTTTACTGGAGTTAGTGTTTCCTTATTTGTGTGGGTCTTCCACACAGCAAGAGTGGGAAGAGGGGTTTCAGAGAGGTAGCCATATAGTCTGTTTTAGCAAAAACAAGGTGCCACCAGATCTTTGTTGTTTTTAGTGTAGAGAAAAACACTTTATAAAGTATTTTTATTTTTAATAAAGGAATATTATGAAATAAAAAATTGTTAGGGAAATTCAAAGGTGGGCAAAGTATATGAAATTATTTAAATTAGGGTTTTAAAAAAACCCTTAGATTTCCAGTCGATTGTGTCCCTTCAAAACAAGAAAATAGGGCAAATACTAGGAGATCAGCCTTTGGGTAGGATAGCAAAGTTAGATTCATATCTCATATTTCCTTCAATTTTATTGCAACCTGTCAAATACAAAATCAAGTTCAAAGTAGCATTTTTTGTTTATTTAGCATTCACTTCTCCAGTGAGAGAGCTTCTCTGCCTTTTCGGGAAGTGAGTTAATTGGTCTTACTTTTGAAATTCTCCCCGACAAATGTTTGAGACATTTAATAGGACCTACGCTCCTAAATTCCATGGGCATTCTTGACAGATTTCACAGAATTTTCCTTCTCTCACATTTGTATGCATTAACCAAGAATATAATAGTATTCTCTTCTTTCATGCTTATTGTACGTCTCTTCCATCTCTCTTCCCTTAAGGCATTTTTAAGACCTCTTTGGTTTTAGTAACTTGTTGGGAGACATTGATGACATGCATCTTCTGTTCAGGCAAGCACCTGTAGTATAAACATTTCTATTTAGAAATACAGATGTTGCTATAGTGGTTCCTAACCTTTTTTATACTGGGGACCAGAAAATTCATTCACAAACTTTTGAGGAACTGACACCAATTTATTGGCATATTCATTAAGCACATGACAAATATGCAGATAAAATGTTGCCAGTCCCCCAAAAGCCCTGACCACCAGTGCCAGCCCTAGAGCCCTGCACCCCTCCACTACCCCCCAGCGCCAGCCACTGACCCCAGAATCCCCAGCACTGAACCCCCCCATGGTCCCTCCCAGGCCAGCCTTGTCCTCACAGCTCTCCAATGCCAACTCCCCACTCCAGACATCCTAGAGCCCCCCAGTGTCAGCCCCCTACCTCTTAGAGCCCCCCACCTCCCAGAGCTCCCCAGCACTGGTCCTGCCCCCAAAAGCCTCAGTGCCTGCCCCGCCTACCTCAGGTAGCCGTGTACTCCCTGGGTCAGGGCTGTTCTAAGGCTGCCGTGTTAGGCTCCGTGCAGCCCTCCTGACACACAATAAAGCGCTCTTCCAGGTCCGGAAAGAGACGCCACCCCTGGCCAGTGCTGGTAGGCTGAGAGGCGGGGCAGGACACATCTCTCCCAACAGCTGTGGCAGGAATGGTGTACCCCAGCCCCAAGAACTGCCAGAGGCTGGCAGCCAGAGTTCTGCGGCCCAGTAGTGGTCCGAGACCTGGTGGTTGGGAATTGCTGGGATAGACCAATCAGAATTTAGTCCTAGTGTTGGTCTACATGTTGCCAGCAAAGTGCACCAGAAGGATGTGATTTGTACAGTACTTTAGCATATTGTGTTCTAAATGCCCTATATAGGCCCTGCTTTTGCTTCTAAAATAGGCCTAGGCAAAATACCCTCCGCGGGCTGGATCCAACCCATCAAGCCACCAGATCCAGCCCGCAGATGCAGCGGGAAGCTTTGGTCAAACTCACTGACTGCACGCTGCTGAGAAAAGCTCTGTTTGAACAGCTGTGAAACTGAGGGAGAGAGAAGAGACTACATGTACTGTCCTTGCCCCAGCACAATCCCATTGGCCAGTTTCTGGCAAATGGGAGCTGCCTGTTGTCAACAGGCAGCTTCCCCCTTCCCTCAGGCTCGTAGCTGTTCAAAAACCACATGGCCCCTATAGCCAGTGTGGGGGTGGAGCAGACAGGGAGTCTGCTTGGGAAGGCTGCTGGCTGGCAGTCAAATAGGTATGTCTCATAGCCAGAGCCTGCCTCTGACACCCCAACCCTTTGTCCCTCGGCAAAGGGGTCACTCTCCTGTAAACATCCCTTTGTGGCCGAGGCCGTGGCCGTAATTTTCAGCCCAGCTGTTCTCCGGTAGTGGAAATGTCCCCAAAGGATTTCAGGTCCATTGCCTGGGACCAGGCATCATCTTACCCCCTTGCTGCCCCTGGTTAAGGACTACCCAGGCCCACCCACTCTTCTGGATCCTGGCCTAGGGACCTTGTGAATAGCAGTTGCCTGCTTAAGAGAGTCTAGTGTCTGCTGCTACCTTGCTCTCTGGGCCACTTCCCTAAGACACTGCTCCGTCTCTCGGGGTTTGGAGGCTGGCTCTCAATGCACCTTGTCCTGAATTCTGTGAAGTTCTGTGGCTAGTCTTCGGCCTCTGGACCTGGGTCTGAACCAGGTCTAAAGTTCAGCTCGCGCTTGGAGCTACTGTCCTCCCAGACAGAGCCTAGATCTGGCTGGGTAAAGCTCCAGTGAGGAACTGGCAGGCTCTACCCCAGCAGCTGCTTTTATATCGGCCTGCTGGGCCCTGATTGGCTGCAGCAGAGGCAGCCACTCTATCCTGCTTGGAGGACCTCTCATCTGCTCTTCTCCCTGGGGTGAGGCACAGCAAGGCCTCCAGTCTTCAGCAGAGGGTGTCGGGACCTAGTCTACCCTGTCACACCCCCCTCCTGTGTCCATATCCTTCCTAGATCTTGCATCCCAATCCTTTGCCCCAGGTCACAGCCTCCTCCTGTCCTATGTTACAACCCACGCCCTTTGCCCTGTCTCTCCTGTACCTCTACCCCACATAACCCAAACCCTCTGCCCCCCTCCTGCTCCCATATCCTCTCCCAGATCCTGCAACCCAATCCTGTGCCCCAGGTCACAACCCAAACCCCTGCACCCTAGTCCCCTAACCCAGAACATAACTGCCTCCTTCGCCCAAACTCCCTCTCAGACACTACATCCTCTCTTGCACTCCTGGCCCTTTCTGGAAGTTCCCTTCTGCACCCAACCTCCATGTCAAACACCACACCTCCTCCATTAATATGGAAGAGTGCAGCCCTCGACCGCTTACCAAATTCTTGGAGTGGCCCTCCCCATCAAAGATTATTGCCCACCCCTGCTCTAAAATGTGCTTAGTTCATGCTGAGGTAGTTCTGTTTCAAACAGAACTACATTAATGGAGCCTAATACTCCGAGCTGAATACCTTTGATACCAGCGGACAGTTAGAGCACAGCACATTAGTTGCTTTACAAATCACACCTCTCTAATATTCTTTGCTGTGTCATATAGACAAGCTCTTAAACAATGGCTGATGCAGGATGCATTCAAGTTAGAATATGAAGATGGAATCACATTCTTTCTGAAAGATGTGCTTAGGCTCAGTATTTTCTTACCATTGAAAGAAGATAGAATTTTGATTATTTCCAGGAAGTTTTCCACAATGATTTCCCCTCTTTGTCTTCTAGTATGACTCAAATTTTCTTTGTTTATACAGATATTTAGGGGATTTATAGAGGGGAAGATAACTTTTGCACCTACATACAAATATGACTTGTTTTCTGATGACTATGACACTAGTGAAAAATGTCGCACACCAGCATGGACAGATCGTATTCTTTGGAGAAGAAGAAAATGGCCATTTGACCGATCAGGTTTGAGAGTTGATTTAAGTTGAATTCAATATCAATTTAAATTAGTTATAGTAAATTTCCGGCAGTATTGTTTCATGATTAATACTGACTTCACACTAGAAAAAAATTGTTAATTTTATTAGATAATTTCAACAAGAAAGCATATATGGTTCTCATCATTCTTTATATATCTCCTTTTGTTTTTTGTGTGCAATGTTGTAAGGCAGTAGCCAGAGTTCAGTATCAGTTACACAGAAATGCCAGTAAGAGCCTCCAATTTTCCCTATGCTGTTTTCAGTTTGGTTTAATATCTAGGTATGGGGTTGTTGGGTTTCTTTTGGTAGCCTGTCCATGCAGTCAGTCTCTTTTTTGTTTTCTTTTATGTGTCTGATAGCTGAAGACCTGGATCTACTGAATGCTAGTTTTCAAGATGAAAGTAATATCCTTTACACATGGAATCCTGGCACTTTGTTGCACTACGGAAGAGCAGAGCTGAAAACATCTGATCATAGGTTTAAACTTTACTTTCTATATTACTCTTCATCAGGGAGCTGACATCCACCCGGGGCAGGGCGGTAGTGGGACTGGCTCTGCACTCCCGGAAGGGGCGGGGCATCAGGTGGAAGGGGGGCAGCCAGCCCTCAGCATTGCCCAGAGCATGACATGCCACCCCCTCCCTCCCAGCCCTTAGTGCAGCTTGGATTGTGCCACGTGGTGCCCCAGCAACAAGTTAAAGGGTTTGGGGGTCTAGACGACACTGTATTCTTAGTAGCATCAGCAGCCCCCAGACCCTTTAGAATCACCAGGTCCTGGAGCAGTTGCCCCCTTTGCCCCCTGTCAGTGAACCTGCTCTTTAGCCATTTAAAATTTAATGCTTTTGCTTTTGTTATTGTGTTCCTCACCCACTCTGTTTTCTAACTTTTCATATATATGTGTATGTATTTCTTTAAGGCCTGTTGTTGCATTGATTGACATAGATATATTTGAAGTTGATGCTGAAGAGAGACAGAAAATGTATAAGGAGGTGATTGCTGAGCAGGGACCACCTGATGGTACCGTAATGGTCTCCATCAAAAGTTCTTCACCAGAAGAAAACTATTTTGATGATAACTTGATTGATGAACTTATTCAAAAGTTTGCAACCTATGGTGAAGTTATACTTATAAGGTTAGAACACTGCTATTTACCATTTAAACAATACTCTTGATTAATCAACTTTCCTATCAACTTTCTGAACTAATTTTCTTAGGATGCATTTGTGCTGTTTGCATCATTGTTAAACTTGAGAAAATTCATCTCTAAATTTAATCTGTTTAAATTGTGACCAATGAAGTTTTAGTGGATACTATCATTATTAGTGGATTTATTTTTAAAGGGCCTTACTTCATCTTCCATTCAGAACAGATGAAAAAAATGTAAAGTGAAAAATTGGTGGTGGTTTTATTTCTACCCCTCCCTTAAACTTAATTTCAAAGTAAGTCCCAGTTGTATTTTCCATGAAGACTAATTTGGTTCTGGCCAGGGAACATGGGCCATATCATGACTTGGGAGAGGAATTTAATCTAAATATGTGCCTACATAGGCTCCGTGCAGGAAAACTTCCCAGTAGTCAAGGTGAAACAGATGGGGACTTTGGTGTGCATAGTATGACTTGAGAAAGGAAAGAAGAGCTCATGCTGAATGTCATGAAAGGAGCAATAGAGACTTAGAGTGATTTTATTACATTACGTGAAGAAAAATTCCACTCCTCTTCAGAGTTCAAAGGGTTGAAAAATACCGTTTTAAAATAGGATCTAGCAAAAGTCACTAATTTGATATTGGGGACGAATGAGATGAAAACTGATAAGCAGCTAACTCCATCTCTAGCCTGTGGGACTGGTGGCAGATGATAAATATATCAATTCTTACAAATGAATATAAGGGGAAATGGAAGAAACAGAATAAAAGGCCTGTTTGTAATTGTCCTATTAAATAATGAGTACTCAAATCGATCAGTTTGACTTCAAGTGCCACCTTGACAAACTTGAGGAAAGAAACCAAAATCATGATTGCTGGCAGGAAAGTGAGATTTAAAAATTTAGTGGAGTCATGATTTTAATTGGCAAACAGGATACTTTGCTTTAAATAATTGATTTTAATCATGATTTGTATTGGTACTTTAGTTAATTTCCAAAAGAGAGATTATTTCTCATTGGTTGGCAATCATTAAAAGTATTGCTTTACAACTAAATATTGAATTTACACTGTTTGGCATATGTATAAAGCAGTTGTGTAGTTTAATATACATTTCTTCATATTCTTAATTTTTACATTTTTTATTTTTAGAAAATGATGAATGATAGAATTTTTTTTACTAGATTAATTTTTATTTGATTTTAAGGACTTGGGATGGAAGTTAAAATTTAAATACAAGAATGACATTTTAAAACTAGTAAAGTTTAATAAAACATGTTAAGTGACATTTAGTTGCTAGGATAAGATGTTTAAAAAATAGTAAATAGATAACTAAGTTACTCAATCATATTTTATCATTTACATATTATTTGTCAATGTATTTGAAGGTTTGTAGAAGACAAAATATGGGTAACATTTTTGGAAGAAAACTCAGCTTTAAGTGCTCTGATCCTGAATGGTAGTGAGGTAAAGTACAAATTACTGAAATTATCTGTGGTAGATTTAATTTCAGTGTCTAAGTACTATGTGGTTTTCAGGTTTTCTTATCAGTAAAACATACATTTAGGTTTGTAATGTATATTCTCTTCTTCTGAATTTCATTTCATTATCACTCAGTAGTTTTGTCTCTTTTTCAAAATTAAATGAAAAATAATTCTCTCAGCTGTGGGTGATCTGGGAAAGATTTTTTTTTAACTATGATAAACTGCTTTTTGCAAATAAGCAGCATTAGCAGGAGAAGGACTTGTTAAGGTGTAACTTCTGCCAAGTATTTCAGCATGTACTTGAAGTAAATGGGATAGAAGTACATGTTTTATACTTTGTTTAATTGGTATGAAGTTAAGCCCAGGCTTTAAGTTCTTTACAGAACTGTACGGAGCCAAATTTATTCTTAGAAGTACGCAGAATTCAACTGAAGTCAACTCACCGCTGTTTTATAATTTAAACTGCTAAGCCAGTTGAAAAAGTGACAGTCTAAATGCAGGTCAAATGGATGAGGTTCTTTGGCTTGTGTTACAGAAGTCAGAATCAGAATTCCTCTGTCTTTAAAATCTATTTTCATTTTTATTAATTTTTTTTTTTCAGCAAATGAGTTCACTTTCATAAGGATTCCAAAAAGAATGAGGGGTTTCTTATTGGTTTATGATAATTGTTTGTGATTATTTATTTTAAAAAAATGCAAGTGTCCTGAGACTGCACTGTGGACTAGACTTTCCTTTTTATTGTACAGCATATTATTAATCCAAAAACTAGCACCTATCCACAGAAGTGCTAAAACTAGGAGTGTGGAAGAAGGAGGAGAAGGGAGAGCTGCAGCACCCTTTGACTTGAAGCAGTTTCCATTCTATATAGCATTTACAATTTGTTTCAATTGCTCTGAATACTCTCAATATAAAAACTGTGCCAGCACCCCTGCTGTTATAGTGAAATCCTGAGACTATTGAAGTGGTTGGAAATTTTGCCCTTGATGTCACTGGGATAAGGATTTCACCAGTGGTATACAGTACCTTCTATTCAGGTTTGTAGTTGGCGAGATCCCTAATAAGACTTTGATCTTGTACAAGTCTACCTATGAAGATCAGATTATACCTTTGAAGTCACTGAGACTCCACACACAGAGGGATAGGAGTTGAATTCATGGGTCAGATTGCAGGATTGAATCCTAATATTGTACCAGTCCATATTATAGAATCATCATGATGTGTTTAGCTGATAATTAAAGCTGACTGTTATGACAAAAAAAAGGGGAATTAATGCTTTAGGAAAGGAAAGAAGGAAAAAGTTATTTTAATTTTTAAAAACAGACAATAGTTTGTTACATTTGTTTTTCTTTAGAAAAGTACTAAATTGTTGTAATTGTTTAAATTGCCATCTTTTCTTGCTATGTCAAAAAAGAAATCAAATGTGGCAAAGCTCTTGGAACACTCTTGCTCAGGGTGGGCAAGAGCGCCTCCACAGGCCAGATACAAGCTGCCAAGCTGGTGGATCCGGCCTGGGGCCACCCTGCCACTCCCCCGCCCCCAAGCCAATCAAGATCTGGAGACAGGGAACACATGAAGTCTCCTTCCTCCACCAGAGGCACGTACCATTGGAGGGATCCACTGGCAGTTTTAAAACAGCTAGCAGTTCTCTCTAGCTGCTGCGTGCCCCTGGCAGGGCGGGGGCAGACAGTAAGGAACTTCACATGCTCCCCCCCTCCCCCGCTCCAAAGCCCTGATTGGCCTGGGGGGTGTGGGAGCATGTGAAGTCTCCTTCCCTCCCTCCAGGGTAAGCGGGTGTTGGGGGTGAGGGACTGATTGGCCTGGGGGCAGGGAGAGCACATCAAGTCTCCTCCTACATCAGCACCTAGAGCAGGGTTTCCCAACCTATGGGGTTGCCATTACAGTTCAAAAGCTTCAGGGGGTAGCTGAGTTAATCTGTTACAGAAAAAAACAACAAATGGTCTGGTAGAACTTTATAGACTAACAAAACATGTGGATGGTATCACGTGCTTTCGTGGGCACAGCCCACTTCTCCAGCCATTTCAAAAGGGTCGCCAAGTAGTCTCCCCAGGTGGTGCTCTTAAGGAGCCATTCACACATTTGAAAAGGTCCCCCTCTGCTGGTCAGCTCCACAGCTGGCTTATTCTTAAGGAGCCATTCACTTGAAGTGGTACTCAGTTTAATTGGTTTAACAACCTTCAGGCAATCCATTGAATTGAATATCTTTTCTGTGACTCAGAGCAGAATAAAGCAGGGGTCTCCAACCTTTTTAAGCAGGAGATCACTTTTTGAATTTAAGTGCAATCCAGGATCTATCTCAAACCCAAATACCCTGCCCCACCTTCTTCGTGCTCCTTCCCAGAGGCCCTGCCCTTGCTCACTCCGTTTTCCCATTCTCCCTCCCTTTCACCAGGCAGAGGCAGAGGTTGAGGCACAGGCTCTGGTCTTGGGCTAAGGGGTTTGGAGTGTGATGGGGTTCTGAGCTGAGCCTGGGGCAGGGCGTTGGGGTGCAGAAGGGGGTTCAGGGTGCAAGCTCTGTAAAGGAATTTGGGTACAGGGGGGCTCAGGGCTAGGACAGGAGCTTGGGGTGTAGAGTGGGGTACATGACTGGGGTAGGGGTTCGGAGCTGGCTCCAGCTGGACACTGTTTACCACAGGTGGCTCCTGGGTGGTGGTGCAGTGGGGCTAAGGCAGGCTCACCCCCGCCCTGGTCCTGCATCAGTCTCAAAAGCAGCCAGCAAACTCCTTCCATCCTAGGCCCTGTTGTCCCCCATTCTCCATTCTGTGGAGATAGAATACAGGGTGGAAGAAGGGGCACCTCTCCTCTCCCTTCCCTGCTCTGTACCACAAGCAGGAGCTCCCAGAGGGGCCGGGAGAAAGCTTCCCGACAAAGGAGGTGTGCAGCAGTGGGGGAAGAGGCAGCTGAAGTACTGGCACTTGATAGCCTCTTAGCCAAAGCAATCGGGATCACCTGTCAGAGGCTCCAAGATCTACCAGTAGATCCCGAGCTGTTGGTTGGTGACCACTGGAGTAAGAAAATATCCCTGGACATGGGGAGGGGAGGGAAAAGAAGTTAGAACACTAGGGAACGCAGAGAAGCAGCACCCAGCTCAGGTAGATAGGGGTGGGGATTGAAGGACCAGGTATCGGGCATCCGGTTGAGAGGTTTCCATCGGCCCCGGCCGGGATTCCCACAACTGACGTTGGCCGGCCAGGGCAGAGTCCTGGCTGGCTTGCAGCCACAGGGGACTGGGTTAGGGGCTGGGACTGTGTACGGGAGCCTGGAGGGAAGAGGATGGGACTGTGTGGGGGGATTCCACAACAATTCTGAGGATACAACAGTTAGCATAGCAAATGCAAGCTCAACCATCCCATTAATTTAAGTTCAGGTGAAACTGTTTGGTAAAATACTAAATTTTACTTGTTTTTTTTTAATAATGTGTATTATGTTTCTAATATTTTTGTGACACCTGTGTGTCAGACCCACTGGCCCGGAGTGTGCCCCCCAGTCCCTGACTCCCAGCCCCTCCTGTCCCTGAATGTGACTCTCATGTCCTCCACCTCCCCAGTCCCTCCAGCCCCTGAGTGAGTGTGACTCTGAGGCCCCTGAGTATGACTTTCAGGCCCTCCTGCTCTCCAGCCCCTGAGTGTGATTCCTCCAGCCTCTGAGTGTGGGGTTTAAGCCTGGGGGAGGGGGGGTTGGGGATGTGTCTTCCCCCACCACAACTCAAATAAATGTAGTGTTATTTTATTATTAATGTATTTTCAGTTTTTCTATGAAATAACTTCTATGAATATATAAACATGAGGGGGCACCATTTTATATTCTTGCCTCTGGCGCAAAATTAGCTAGTTACGGCACTGCCCGCCCTCTTTTTTCCCCCTTCGTTTTTAAATTGCTTTGGGTCACCAAGTCTTCCTGAATTGTCAAAATGGGCCCCTATCTGGAAAAGACTGGGAACCACTGACCTAGAGGAAACTACCAGCTGTTTTAAAACAGCTGGCAATTCTCTAGGCACTGGGGTCAAGGGAAGCAAAGACTTCACATGCTCCCACACCCCCAGGCCAGTGAGGGTCTGTAGCAGGGAGCACAAGAAGTCTCCTGGCCCTTTCCCTTCCACCTGAGGTCTCACCCCTTGCGGGGCAGCCTGGGGCCACTTCAGAAGTTTGTGAAGTGGCCTCATTTTAAAAATAATTGCCCACCTCTGCTGCAGAGTAGGAAGAGCAGAATGAAAAAAAAATGCCTCTTCATAAAAAGCCCCCTGAAATAATTGTTTTGTCACAGGTATCCTGAAAAACAGAGGCTTGCCTATAATAATCTGTATAGCAGAATGTTTATCCTTTTTAAATTTAGATCCCTGATTTTTAGTGCTTATTTTAAATGTGTGTACTTTGAGTCTCTTCTTTATCATATGAATATTCAGCTTTTAGGAAGGATTGTAAATGTTAACTTGAAAAACTCAGACTGGATCAAAAATTTGGAAGAAGAGCTGAATCTAGAGAAGATGGTTGGATTGCCTTCATCAACCAGCTCCACTTTGCTTTGTGAAGATGCTGAGGTTTCTGCAGACTATGATATGGAAGGTCTGTTGAATCAAATTAACTTCTTCCCATCCTAGACATACTGTCTAATTTATACATCTCTTTAACAATTTATTATTCTTTATGCCAAAAAATCAAAAGGTGATAAAAATCAGAGTCTCCAGCAGCATATCTACAGTTTGCAGAGCAATCCTGCTCTGTTCGCATGGATGGGAGTGAGAGTGGTACTGATCAGTGACTGAAGAGAGTGAATACCTTCCAGAATACAGGGGGTATCTAGACAAAGATCCACTGCATTAAGTTACAGTGAGCACATTGTGGTAACTCAGGAAACATTTCTTATGGATAAGAAGGTACTGGAGAGGAAGATCACTTTGCTGGTATCCTGAGGTGTCACTCAAGCTGCAAGAAAGAAAATTGGTCAGGGAGGATTGGCAACTTTTGAATGTGCTAGAGAAAATAGAGGATTTCCATATAATATTAGACTTCCTATACTGTCTGAAGAAGTTTAATATGTCAAAAAGAGCTTAAAACGTACACTGTCTGCAGTTTGTCTGACAACTCAAAGTTAATACTTTTTTTTTTGTTTACGATGGTCAATGAAGATATTTTACCAAAGAATTGGATGTGAGTCTTGAACAGTAGAACAGGTTGATCTCCATTTTACTTTCATTAATTGGTCTGTTCATTTGTAGACTCTCAGTTGCAATACAATATTTTTTCTTTCCAGAACAATAGTTTAATAGCTTCTACTGTGTGTGTGGATTTTTATGTCTACTGATTTTGTGAGCCAGGGTCCATTCTGTTGCTTGGCCCTCAGAGTTTAGACACTGGAGAAATTTTGGGGGGGTGACATGGAGACTGTTCAAATATTAATATAAAGAAGAATAAATTTCTGAAGCCCAGTGTTTCCAACAATTCTGATAAATACAGGCTGTTTTCTTCATCTGCAGTTTCTAGAGGCAGTTCAGAGCTGCAGCTTGTGCTGGTCATGCTCCCTTCTCTGGCTTCCTGCCAGATTCTCTGCTTCCTTGGCAGCTGTTGAGTGGTGGTTCACTTTGCTCCTGACTTTGACAGATTTATTTATTTTTGTTCAGTTTTTGTTTTGCTGGAGCAGAATGAGCAACTTTTCTCTTTCTTCTTTCCTTCTCCTGGATTTTATATAGAGCAATGGGGTTGCCTTAGCTATTGGGATCAAGCATTGCAGGGCTTCCTGACAGAATCTTACCTGCACTCTGTGTGGCAGTGCTGCCTCGCAAATACCAGCTAAATCATATACTGTTTCATATGGAAGGCAGCCTTTACAGGTTCTTTGGAGGATAAATTGTTGTTCTAAGCCAGCCAGTCTTCTCATTGCTAGGGATTGGGGCTCTAAGTCAGACAGGCATGTTGGGTTCCCTCTGACCCAAGGAGCTATGACTTTAGCACAAAAAAACCCAATCCAGAGAAGTAAAAAGAAAAAGGAGAGATTCCAAAGATGAGGTGGACTTTTGCCAGACAGTTCAACTGGTAGGTCGTGAGGCACGAATGGGAACATATCAAGAGGGCTCAAGGTGCTGCCTAAAGTGAGCCACAAAAAACCATTCCCTGGTCACAGCTGAGAGACAATGCTTACAAAGTGGGTTAAAAACTCAAAAAGAGGGGGAAAAAAGGGTATAAGAAACCTGAGAATTATTCGTCCTCAGACATTAACATGTCTGCTGAGGAAGGGAGCCCTCAAATTTACTCTGAGCCAGGCTGACCAAAAATGCAGCAAAGGTTATGTTTTCCTTTTTCTTCTGAGATATTTGAAACCATGTCCAAAGAAGATGCATCAGCAATCCGTAGCCAGCTGGTGCAGGTCCTTGAGGATAGGGATGTAAGCAACTAGTCAAGTCACTACCTGACTACTTGCATTCCCCCCTACTTCCTGCCTATGTATCAGAGGCAGCAAGGGGGGGAGGGGAGAAGGAGCTGCTGCTCCCCTCCCCCCATGCTGCTGCCTCTAGCTTTGAAGCAGCTTCTGCCCATGGTGGGCCCAGGCTCATTATGAGTAGAGGCTGCTCCACATACCGCGGACAGGGGCTACTGCCAGAGCAGCCTTTGTTAGTGGCCAGCGCCGGCCACTGCAGACAGGTGCTGCTGCTGGAGTAGCCTGTGTTCACAGCCAGCCCAGACTGCTGCGAACAGGGGCTGTTGCCATGTAGCAGTCTCTGTCCTTGGTGGCCTGGGCTGGTCATGAACACAGGTTGCTCCGGCAGCAGCCTCTGTCTGCGGGGGGTTCCAGCTTGTCACTGGAACCCCGCATTCCCCAGTGGACAGGGGCTGTTGGACCTGGCACAAGCCAGGACTGACCAAGCCCAGCTCAGTCCCAAGCTACCCCTGCTTTGGCTCTGCATTTAAAATGCAGTAATAGCTGAGCAGCTCTTACTATATTTAAAATGCAGTGCCACAATGATCCCAGACCTAGCGTGAGCCGGAACTGAGCAAGCCCAGCTCAGTCCCGGCTAACACTGGGTCCAGGACCTAATGCCGCTGCAGCTCTGCATTTTAAATGTAGTAAGAGCCATCCAGGTATTACTATATTTAAAATGCAGAACCACAGCAACATGAGGTCCCAGACCTAGCGGTAGCCAGGACTGAGCCGGGCTTACTCACTTCCGGTTTGCTCCTGATGCAGGACCTACCTTCCCTGCAGCTCTGCAGTTTAAATGTAGTATGAGCCAGGCTGCTCCTGGGTAGCTCCTGGACCTGGCGCAAACTGGCACAGAGTGCCTGGCTCAGATCTCAAGGGCCACAGATTTTCAAGGGCCATGGTATCCAGCTCAGCATCCAGACACCAGATCTGACATCACCTCTGGAAGGTTGACTCACACTCCAAAGAAATCATGATTATTTAAATTCACAGGCTCTCTCCTCTTTGGGAAAAATTAGATAAGATGGTGGCAGAAAATGTTGCCAAACAAAAAGTCCTTCCCTTCTCCAATCAGTGTTTTAAGGAAGGATTACAAATTCAGCACTGGATGAAAACACACCTGTCTTCCAGCTGTACAGGCGCACCAGAATAAAGACAGTAAAGATTGGAAGAATCTTGTAACCAAAGATCAGGTGGAAAATCCAGAGGTGGTTTACCTTGAAGAATCTATTGGGATGAGCAGATGTCCATCAAGAATTTCAGCCATCTAGATGTAAATCAAGGAGGCAGAATTTCCACTTGTTGGAACAATGGTTCTTCTTTGAGGATGTCCCCACAGGTGTTCCATTGTGGGTGCTGGGCTTGCCCTGGCACCGCAGAAACGGAGATTTTTCTGGAAGCAGTACCCGGCTGGACCACGCATGCACTGTGGCGTTCGCGCTTTTTGTCCTGATTGCACGGTCTGGCCCCCTCCAGTTCCTCTCCTCCACCTCAGGCTGCAGACAGTGAACTGCGCTCTTCATGTTATCACCTTGTGGTGAGATCACCTCGTTTTTTCTATAGTTATACTCCTTTTCTTCATAGTTATTATCCCTTTTGTTAATTCTTTAAAAAAAAGTTTTTTAGAATAGTTATAGACTTATACTCCGAGTTTTCAGTACCCAGTTCATCCCCTTTTTCTTCCTGTTCTAAATAGTTATTATATTAGTATTACATAGCCCGTTTTTTTTTTTTAAGAAGACAGAAAAAAGACTGAACTAGTTACCATAAGAAAACTCTGAAAGACCAAGACATTTATTATGCCGTCATTGCCAGGGTTTAAAAAGTGCCCGCTTCTGACGGCCATTTAGCCTGTATCAGATGTCTGGGAGACTCCCGTATCCCCCAGAAGTGCCTGCCTTGTACTAAGTTCACGAGAGCTAGAAGGGACAGGGAGATGAGGCTGCGAATGACACTGTTTGACAAGGCCCTTCAACCTGCTTCTGAGGAATTGTCCTCAAAGCGCAGGGTGTCATCTCCCTCAGCAACCTCCCCCAAAAGATCTAAGGTGTCGCCAGCAAGATCTTTACCTGCCATTTCACATGGCAGAGTCAGTTCAGAGTAAAAGCCGGGCACGTCCAGCATGGTGAAACCGCGTTCGAAAGCCTCAACTGCACCAAAACCCAAAAAAGTGGGAGAGCCAGCACTGCCTACGGCACCGAGGGTTGCATCGGCTCCAACAGCGCCCTAACCTCTGGCACCGACCGCCCCGGCACCGAGGGCATCATCAGCACTGATAGCAGCATCATCAGCACCAGTAGCCGTTACAGTACCTATCTACCATGTGGCGCTGGAGAGCGCAGCACCTCAAAGCACGGCACTGAAGACTCCGGCACCACACCTAGCCACTGGCAGCACCGAGAGCTTGGCACCGACAACTCCTCCATGCTGAAATCGCTCCCCCTCGCTTCTTTTCTCTCCGGCACAGTCTCCTTCCCCACCAGCACCGCGTTCTCCATCTTACCGCAGTAGTCAGCACAGGTCGGCACACTCACCACAAAGGCTGCCATCTCCATTCCTTTCACCATACCCTCAACATGGGAGTCATCACCGCTGTCATCATTCCATCTCTCCTACTTTCTCCAGAGCTTCATATGTCTGTTCTCACTCTCCCCACTCCCCACACATCCATCATTGGCAACACACACAATTGGACTACCCTGAGACACGTTCCCCATTGGACAGGCTCTATCACGTGATGACCATTACCATCATGACTCTCGCAGCAGATGTTCATATCACTACAGATCCAGCTCTCATGCACGATCTTGCTGTGACTGCGCATCTTCCAGATGCTCTCCAACTCCGGCCCCACTCGTACAGGGCAAACTACATCCCTGCCTCAATTCCCATCGGAACCGGAGCAGATAAATCTTAAGGAGCAGCCATCGGAGGTTTCTCCAATCGACTCCTCTTCACTCGATGAAGCTGTTATTCCTGGGGACATCTCTCCACCAGATGACCTCCGACAGTTTCAGGAGCTCTTTAAACGTGTTGCAGTTAGTCAGGAAATACCATTAGAAGAAGTAAGGTACAAGCAACATTGTCTCTTCAAAAACCTGAAACCGCAACGCAGATCACAACTGGCCATTTCTTTGGACAAAACCAT